CAGTTATATAAACTAATAATACTGTCCACGAAGAAAGGGGACAGGGAGGTAATTTCGAGTTAGTAGGCTTATAGTATTTGTACATAGATACACCTAAAGGTACTTTTGTTTGTTCCAAACACACATACTGCATTAGATTATGACATTATATATACATATGAGTTAAAAAATGTACAAAGAACATTTTTATACAAATATCAATACATTTAAAGTCAAAGATTTATAATGAAATATCTAAAGATATTTTTCTTTGAAAATTGAACTTTTGGGTACATTTACACATCAACTGTGCTTTAAATCAAGACCCCCCTGGCAATAAATTGTAAGGAAGTGTGCATTTCAAACTCAAATACCAAATGTCAAATGTCAAATGTCAAAAAGTTAATAATGATACCTGTTTCCTTTACTCTAGTATTTAGTTACAGCCAGTACCTTTAATCTCATTCTGATTTGAAACTTTTTTCAATGAAAAGAGCATAGCATTGCATTATAAAGAATATCATGGTGTTGAATATTTGGCATTCTTCATAAAGTGTTGAAATAGCAATAGAATATTTTTTTGAGGCTTTTGCAAAAATAATGTGAGTTGTAGATGGTACCATAGGCAGTCAAAAAAGCATGGTGCATATTCCTGTCCCCACCCTCATTCCTAACAGTTTACTTTTGAAGTTATTCAATCGTTTGCAAAAAAAAATGTATGTAACTTGACTATAAAGAAGTGTATTAGAAGTTAGAAGCATGGGAAGGGCCAATACCCTATGGCTATGACAATGCTCGTGTCAGTTCAGTTCTCCATCTAGTCTACATCTGTTTATAACTCCCAATAGTGAACAATGATTAGGCCTATGTGACTGCAATAAATTTATACTGAAATTTTAATCAACAGTCGTTCCCTTACATTCCGTATTTTTTCAATTGTAAAATAAATGCATATTCTATTATATGGGAGTATTATGATTTTCAGCTTAGTTTAGCTTTCTTTGTGATTCAACCCACTGGATCCAGGTCACATGGATTCTTGTCAATAAATGACAAATATAGAGCTCTAAAGCTAAACTATGAAGAGTGTCCCATGGAAAATATGCAAGAGTCAGAAAAACACAAAAGAAATAGTTTATAATGGTATCTTTGTATGAAAAAAAAAAAAAAAAAACAAATAAAAAAGCTAATCTAAAAACTGTCCCATAAGATGCTTTTCATAATGAGTTGAAATAGCTAAGGAATGTTCTTGGTATCAAAAAGAAATAGAAAAAAGGGGGAGATATTAACAACATATGGGGAAAAAACTTTATAGCCTCCAATATGCTAAAATAATAGTAACAATAACTGAGTTATCTGAAATCATTATCACCTGAGGGTAAAGTGACCTGACTTAGGCAATAAACTTTCAAATGCATTTCCTGTATTGTGAAGATATTCATTCTCATTCATACCTTTTCTAAATCTCTCTCTCACTGCATAAAGAACAATCTTCAACAACAAAACAAAGAACAGCCTCACCTCAGTTTCCAAAGGAACATGTTCATCTGGTACATTTTGGTGCTCTTCACTAGGTTTCTCCAAGCCAAGTTCCTCCTTTCCATTCTTGAGCTTTTTCTTCTTGTTTCTCCTTTTCTTAACAGATGGTTTTACCTGTGGTTAAATATACATGATCAGAGACTGCATCTCTCATTATTTACATATAAAACAATCCTCTGCTATATTACCTAAGCATAAACTAATCACAACCAAACAGCCTTACCTCAGACTCCGAAGGAACATGTTCATCTGGCACATTTTGGTGTTCTTCACAAGGTTTCTCTTGGCTAAGTTTCTCCTTCAGCTTTTTCTTCTTGCCTGAACTTTTCTTAATAGATGGCTTATCCTGTGGTTTAAAAAGACGTGATCAGAGACCATTAAACATTACACCTCTCTTTCCTTATATATACAACAATCTTCAACTATTCGAACTAACAATACACCAAACAAACAAAAGGACAACCTTACCTCTGACACCAAAGGAACATCTGGTATATTTTGGGGTTCCTCTGTAGGCTTCCCCTTGCCACTCTTGAGTTTTTTCTTCTTGCTTTTGCTTTTCTCAATGGATGGTTTTACCTATGGTTAAATATATGTTATCAGAAACATCTAGTCATCTATTGTTCACACCTTTAAAACTAAAGAGTTTGTAAGACATACATATCCTTTCCTCCTCAAAAAAATATTATAATAAATAAAATGGAAAATTAAAGTCCAAAAATAATAACATTGAATTCTCCATCTAGCTAGTTATTTCCTTATAAAATAATTTTAATTAATATGCACTAAATACCTTACCAAGAGGAAGATAACTTACTGGGAGTAAATCTTGCTCTTTCACCGAGACCCCCATCTTGTGGTAAATCTATGAATCTGTAGTGTTGAAATAAAAAATATATATCATTAGTACTCTCGCAGTACAGTGCGACCATAGGATAGAATAGATGAAGAAAACATTATCATGGGTTAAAATGATTTCCTTTGCCCTCTCCTCCCTTCCTTTCCTACCATAGATGAAAAATGTCTCCTTTTTAGTTATTCTGTACTACGTTGCTGGAGAAAGCTGAAACTATACCATTTATCTATCTATCTATCTATCTATCTAGATAGATAGATAAACAGACAGACAGATAGACAGATTGGTAGAAAGATAGATAGAGATAGATTTAGATAGACTGAGATAGATTTAGATAGATAGAGATAGATCTACAGACAGATACACAGATAGATGAAATAGACAGATAGACATACAACAGACAGATAAATAAATTTCATCATGTATGGGCAATGAGCAAGGAAAACTAATCCAACCTCTTTGTAAAATATCATGTAAATAATAACACAACGTGACAGGTTGGGTCCCACCTCCTCTCCCCAGGGAAAACAGGAGGGATCTCAGGGGCCCACAACCCGAGCTATCTATCCAAACATATTGAAATCATTGCATGGAAACCCACCCCATTACCAACATTCTTGGTCCTGATATCAAGGGAGGGCATGATTTGTACCAGGGTAATTGTGCGTCAAAATATGAATAATATACACACAGAATCAGTCACTATATCATTTAATGCAAGGGACTAGAACACAAAATCCTTCACGTATTCACAGCAGGAGAGAGTGGATTATTTGTTTTTCCTATGGAGAGGTTGTTACATTAGACAATTTAGAGGCTGATTCTGTGGACATCGTTTATATCAAAATCTTTGTGGCTCATTATGGGGAACTGACGTGTAAAATTACCATAGATTATGATGCCATTCTGTTCAATGGCAGAAGAGTTACATTTCTAAACTTTACTGTGTTCTGATATGAATTACAAAATACTCAATGCATAGTCGATAACATCTACGTTCCTCAAGAAATTAACAATTACCGCATGCACAATCAGCCAAAATTAACTATATACACGTGGATTTAAATCCTCATCTCGATCACACATCACTGGCTAGTTGATCTATAACAACCCTAACAAAAGAGAGAATACAAAAGTAAAATTAATAAGACCCATACATTCTATATCACTTCCACGGCAGAAACACAAGGCATATCATTCACGAAGCAAGAACGCGGCACTTCACGACCTTCCTTCCCCCGAGCGGCGTGGGACTGTCGCCTCCGAGCACAGGTTAGTCGCCACACATGTTACGGTGGGAACTACGAGACTAAATGTATTTTCTGCAATTCTTTATATTTCTAATTATTCATGTCGTTCAGGAGTATGGTTGATAACGATGTATTTGTAGATTATTTGTTTATTGTTTTGGTCTGATTATCTATATGAGTGAGCGAGATAAATGTTGATAAGGGGAATGGTTGAAAAGGGTATAAGTTCGTAGTTAATATTTGGGTTTCATTCGCGTTACAGACATGTATGTGTCACAGAGCGCGATTTTTCATTTGTATATTGTCCGTGAGTGGGCTAAAAGGTGTGTGCCTATGTGTGTAGTTGCATGTGTATGCGTATGTAGATGAGTATCTTCTGTTTGTGTATGTGTATGCATGCTTATAACTATGAGTATCTTTATAAATGTGTATGTGTGCTAAGTTTATAAATATTTTCATAAATGCGGGCATGCACGTTTGTTCAGCTGCACACACACGTACATTTATCATGAGTTTTTTTATTTTTCATATAAGGCAAATTCCAAATAATAAAACCAGGTGAAGCCTAGATTAATGACTGTTTTTGCCCCATCCACTTACATTTATATAATTCATAAATATTTGCATTCTCTTTGATTATGGTGACAGATTGGTTTTATACCTTACTGGAATAAAACCTAATTCATATAAATAAACATATATGTTATCTTCTCTTACACGCATTTAGTATCAGCAAACTTTGCTACTACAAAGCATTTCCTTCTGTTAATTTTTCAAAACCCATTTTTGTATAATTTATATGAGTATGGGTTTAAATTTCATCTTCAATATACACATCATTTTGCTTTATTTCTTATTAGGTTTGTCCTAGCTCTAATACAAGCAAATTTTTCTTCATTGTTTGAAAGGTAAGGATAAGAATGATTTTGCACAGCACATATTACTGAATTTTATCAAATAATAATTTGAGTAAGTGCACTTATTCATATCAACCAATACCTTTCACAACATATTAAATAATGACATAGATTGCACTAGTTTTCATCAGCAAATCTTACCAAGAAAGTTATACTGAATTTGTTATCTAAACTATGATCTTACACTGTTGACAAATGTTTCCTTTTTAACTACCCCAAGGCATCCCCAAAGGGGATAAAACCTCTGACAATAAAAATCATTGTTGCAAGCAACGGCTGGGCAACGAGGGAGTAAGTTGAAAACAAAATGTTTAAAATCCAATAACACTCAGAATTACCCCCCGCCCCACCTCCCATCCTGGACTTAAGTATCCTCCACTGTAATTTGTGAATTTTTTGGCTTAAGTGTTCAGCACCCAAAGTGTCAGTAGACCCAAGTGACCACCTGAGTTCCCCATTATTACTATCATTATGATCAAAACACTAATAACAATAAAAATAAAATAATAAAACATAATCTTTCCAAAAATCAAGTACAAGGTTAAAGAGGTGAGATAGGTAGGATTATTAATTGACTCCTTAATGACCAAGCACTTGTGGCATCATATCTCTGGAAATAAAATAAACAAACTAAAGTCACAGTAGACATGGCATGCATCTTTGCCTTCCATGGCAAATATGTGAAGTGCATATTTATTTTTTTTCTTCACACATACAGAGCTCTTTTGAAATAATACATTACAAAATTGTTTGTTTGTATTACTGATCATGTTCTGTATATCAAATTTAGGAATATTTTTTTCTTTTTCTTTTTCTTTTCTTTTAAATCTGCTACTTGCCTATCCTTGATCGGTGGGCTAAGGGTAACTATGCAACACTTGAAAATGTATTCTTGAGAAATCTACATTTAAAAAAATATACATTTTTGCCTTATAAAAAAGGGCTATGAATAGGAAAACCAAAAATATGTATGTATCACTGACATTGACATTGAAAGGAGCTAGATGAGTGAGGATAAACTGATGCCTTATCGATATGCATGTAATATCCACAAGAGGTGAATAAGAAAATAGTATATACACACCAACAAATGAAATTGGATGAATTTGGATAACAGTTTATATTATTTCTTTCTCTATTATTGCAAAATAAATGTTATCAAATATAGCAGGGAAAAGGAAGTAATGTAAAACACAAGTTCTTTTCAAAATATATAATTGAAACTCAATAACACCTTTTCTTCAAAATTAGATAAAAAAAGAATCTAACATAAATATAACTTTCAGAGCATCAAACAAAACATCTTTTAATTCAATCTTACAGCATAAAGATGAAACTTGGTACTACATATAGAATTTTTTCCCAAAATGCATTAACGCTTGATGAAGAATTGATTCCTAAAAATGTTTCATTATTCTTAACCAACACATCTGCATAATCCACAATTGAGACTGGAATATATAATCTGATTTTATACATAAGATTTATTCTCTTTATCTTAGTACTAATAGTTGGAAATGAATGTAAGTGCTGAAAAACCAAGTACAGACCATTCCTGATAATACACTGCATATTTCTGGAGAGATTAAAGTGGATGATCTAAGATCTACAAATTAAGAACAGATTAAGCCATCAGTCCATTTCCCATATGGCTGAAAGCCTAGGAGCCACAGCAACTTGACATGTAATATCATGAAAAAGTTTTTGGTGGTTTCTCAACTGGTGTATGGTGGAATCCCTACCAACGTATTTTCTGTTCAAATACTTTTTCTTTTTTCTTTTGCCCCTCATATAAAGTATCCTAAATCTTTTGTATATTACCTAAAAAAAAATTACAAAAATACATTCTAAACATGAAATGTATTAGGGAGATGTAGAAGGGGAGTGGGGGCTCAGAATTTTTTTTTAAACTTCCATGTAAATCAAATTCCGTGAAGCAATGCCATGAAAAGCTACCTCTTCCTATTAACATAGCAAGAAATTGAAAAGATTAAAAAAAGTAAACTTACAGTTGAAGAGAAATCCTGGCAAAATACCAGTAATTCCAATAAAAGATGGAAATATGACAATTCAAGTTTGAAAATATGCATAATTAGCTATTATATGTAACTGTGTTGATGAACTTTAAACAAAAAAAAATAAAATAAAAATAAATACATAAATAAATACAAGTAATCTAGGTCAATTTGCCAAAACTTCTGAGTAAAATAAAAAACAAAGGTCTGTCGGTTATTGTGTAAAGCACACAAAAATCATGGAACTATGTTATAAACTACCCTCAAAATAGTGAATACTTGTTTGTACTGAATAAAATTGATATGTAATACAGACGAGTACACAAAAGGATATAATATTTCTTTGTACTAAGTAAATGAAAGGTACTGTCTACACATCGCTAGGACACAGAAAAATGGATAACACAAAATACCCTTCCATACAGAGTGAATTCTAAAGATACAATTCCTTTCAAAGACACTAAATGTTTCTCCTTTTATCACTATATTCAACTACCTTTATTCACACCATATATATATTTTGACACTTGGGGGTGGGGTGGGGGTGGGAATCTTATAATTCTACGGCATTATAAACTCAGTTTGGTTGACAGTAGCTCCTTTGCTTCTTTTAAGGCTGCCACAACCCTGAAAAATATTTGATATTTTAAAATCAGATAAAATACAGTCCAGTGTTTTCTAAACATTAAAATAAAAAATAAACATGATTCAAGTCAGTTAAAAATGAAATGCCAGATAAAATATCAATCTTCCACTATCATAATAGGAGGAAGGATGTAGTAGGAAGAGAAGGAGGAAAAGAAGGAGGGGGGGGGGAGGGAGGGAGGAAAGTAGAGAGAGGGACAGAGAGAGGACAAAGGAAGAGAAGGAAGGATTACTAGATTAATAGCAAGCCTGTATGCTGGTACTGAAAGTGCTGTAAAGAATGGTGGGGAGCTATGGAGATTCTTCCCTGTTAGTTCAAGAGTGAGGCAAGGCTATGTTCTTTCACCAACACTTTTCAACACTTGCATGGATTGGATACTGGGCAGAGCTACTACTATCTAGTCATTGTGGAGCACCTCTGGACAATATCAAGGTTACTGACCTTGACTTTGCTGATGAAGTTGCTACTCTAAGTCTTTGAAAACCCTAGTGGTGGCTCTAGCAGCAAACCTTCACCTGATAGTGAAGCCTCTGGGTCTAGAGGACTCCCAAGATACAGGATTTTGGGGACCTGCTAGGATAATCTGTTTGATTGGTATGTGCTTGTGGTGAATACTAAAGTCACAGAGAGCTTTACATACCTTGGTAGTGTTGTTCATAACTCTGGGCTGTCAGAACAGTAGGTCAGGAGACATATTGACCTGACAGTAGGGGTCATGAACTTTCTTGATACGAGTATATGGAGATGCAGGAGGACCAAACTAGGTGTCTTCAAGGCCTTAATACGGCCAGTTTTTCGATAACAGCTGTGAAACCTGGATGCTATCCTGTGCCCTGGAATCTCTTCTTGAGGCTTTTAGTAATAGGTCCTTGCACCGGATCATGGGGTACAGTTTGCAGGACATGTCCAACCACTGTGAGATTGGTATAGGACCTGTTACTTGCACAATCTGTGATCACCAACTCAGGCAATACAGGAACCTGGCTCGCTTACCAGAGGATGATCCTACCCACCCGGTTGTCTCTGTTTGAAACAACCCTGAGTAGAGGAGGCCTGTGGGACAATCTTGGAAGTCATGGCTTGGGCAGGTCAATCAAACCTGTTGTGAAGAGCTTGAGTATGTGCCTGGCAGCTTGCTATGAGGGACCCTCACATATGTAGACAAAGAGTGGATGCAGCTATGCACATCTGTCGGCATTAGCTCCCCAATGATGATGATATACATACATGTATATATACATAAATCAACATATATAGGCTTATTCTGCCTATACCTGCTAAAGCTGTTATATCCTGTACCCTCACCCCTACCTTTGTGTTCTGGATTTGTATTCAGAAATGTGTTCTCACACTCCTCAGCCTAAGCAGCAAGAAAAAGATATTAAAAAGATGTGAAACCTGCTCATACCTGCTCTCTGATAAAGAGTCATCTTATCCTTCTCATCCCCAGTAGTATGGAATAAATAACTACTCCTTCAGCAGCAAACCTGTTCAGTTATGTAACTTGCATAGAAAAGCAGTCTTATCTCCACACTATGGCACTTAATTCCAACCCACATTGATAAACTTCATGCAAATGGCAGCCTAAAAAGTTTCTTCCACAACCTGGGCAGTGAGCACCCTTTGCTGACAATGCAGCAATCTCATCTCTTTCTTGATTTCAGTTTACGGTAGAGGACAGATATCTTCACTTCACCATGGATAAATAAAACCTGTGACCATGCTCCTACATTAATCTAACGTTGGATGCTTCACCTCCCAAAGCAGCAAAGTGTCATTTACCCCTATTCCCCTTGTTCAAATATAAAGCAAATATAATAAAACCTGTTCTTACAGTATAGTCTAACACCATCTTTGCTGGGAGGCCTATCTAAATACCTCATCTCAACTGACATCCTAACTGCTTACCCCTAGAGCCACCTATCTTAAACCAACCTGTTCTACCAATTCTGTGTAGTGTATGTGATTAAAGTCTTGAAACTTTTGTGATTTTGGAAGGCAGAACAAAAGCACCTTCAAAAAGCCTCTGACAGTAATATTGTTATATCATCAAGACTCAACTTCTAGGTGTTTTTTGGCTTTTGGAAAGCTGGACAGGTTTGTATGCTGGATGAAAAATAGGGCCTAAAACAGACACAGGTGATTACTTAGGCATTAACAATAAGATAAACAGTAAACAAAACACTTTATAAATTACTTTATTCACAAGAATTTGGTGCTTAGCTAAATGAAGTGTGCTGATAAACTGAATTACAGTTACTAGAGACTTTCATATAATTGAAATATTGTGTAAAACTTGTCAACACCTAACAGGCCACCATGCTGCTGATTAAGATAATATTATCATATTAAGACTATACCTTATATATATTGGCTTAATAGCAGAATTCTTCAAAGAGTATGCCCCACAGTGGACTTTTGGCAGTCACTGAGCACAAAAGCTTTCATCACAAAAAGCATTCTTAACAATATGTTGAATTTTGGACAACTCTTGGCTTACTTTCAGTACTGACAGTATCACTGACAATAGAAACCATGTTCATTATGAATATATATAACATTTTAACATTTAGCATGTACAAAAATGGTTTGTGCTGAAAAGTGACTGCAAAGTAGTCTGGATACCAACTACATCTGTAAGAAACACATTACTGAAAAGTGAGAGAAGAGAGAGAAGAGGGTAAATTAGAAAGAGTGGAGAGTGGAGAAAGGAGAGAGGAATGAATGAGCATAAAAATGTGATAAGACTGAGAACATGCATCTATGTGTGTCTGCATGGGTAGCTTCTTGCATAAGTGGATACATTGATTCATAAAATTAGAAAACTACCAACCTATTCATAGCTGAAGATGCTTCAGACATTGGTGTCCATAATGTGTTTAACACATCATACATTATCTTCATATTATCATCATCTGTTACTGTTCCTGAACCTTTAGCTGTGTTGAAGAGGTCTCTTGGGACTGGTCGTGGTGGCGTTTTTTGCATCTTGAAGAAAGAAAATATGCAGTGAGTAAATAGTAGAAAAATGTGTACCATATAAACAAAAGAAAGAAAGAAAGTTATTTCATTGTTATAATCTCTTATGCAAAAGACTTTTTAAGAAGTTAATTACACAATATATTTAGCTAAGATCAGCACTTACCATTTTCTCATGCAAACTGGGTGTATGTAAGTTGCTTGTGTGTGTTTCTTCATTACTTGATAATTTTTCTAATATGTTTGTAAGTTTGTATGTTGTTTGAGATGCTAGTCTGGTATCACTCTGAAGTTCACTAATAATATTGTTATAATCCTCCTTTTTTGTACCTAGACCTTCAATTCCCTGTTGTACTGTTTGCTGTGCTTCTAATGAATCTTTATCTCCTAATTTTTGTCCCTCTTGTACATGGTTTAAGTTACATGTTTCAGGAATTTCAGGTCTACCGTAAAGCTCCAATAATGGCACTGGAAGACTTTTTGGTGACTCTGGAGACAGTTCTACTGCCCTTATAATTGCATCTGGTACAATAGTAGACTCTGTGATTCCAGGTGTTGCTGTGTGCGTGATGTTGGTTGTTGTTGATGGGGAACAATCTGAATGATTTTCAGTGGCTACCAGTGAATCTTCTTCTGATGATGAAGATCCTGGGTGCTTTGGAATCATGTTGACGCACTCATAATCAGGATCTTCACTGATAGATTCATCCAATCTTAGCCAGGGATTTGCATCACTATCCATGTATGGTGAGCCATTGTTTGCTCCTTCATTATCAACTGCAGAATTCAGACCTGTAGCTGAACACTGGCTCTCTAATTGACCAATATATGAATTATCTGCCTCTGAAACATAGCTAAATCTAGCATGACTTCCTAAACAGGACTCTGGCTCATGAATCAAGGTGCTTTGTAGTGGACCACAAGAAGGATTTGGAAAACTTGGTTTGTTTGTCATTATTTGACTTATTTCTCCCACATCAACAACTTCTGTAGTATTAACATCATTGGGTTTCTGTTTGTCACCCAGTGTTTCTAACTTCTCAGATGTATCATCTAGACTAGCATCATCATCTAAAATTGAATCTATTGGATTATTGGCATCAAATGGATGTGACATATTATGGTCTACCTCCATGGAGACAGGTGTATTATTTGGTGGCTGGGGAACAGTATGTTGATCAGAGAGATTGACTAGAAGCTCAGGATCTGCTCTTACTCTTGATGCCTTCTCTTGCTGAGGTAATATTTTCTGCAACATGTCTTTAATTTGTGTGTCCTCAACAGATTTACGTATTCTTTTGCTGACAGGTTTACTGTGGCGAGCATCATTTTCCTCCTGGGAAGAAAAACCAAAGCTTTCGGCAATACCAGATTGAAATTTTTGCATTTTAGCATCCTTATCCCTAATTTTTGTTGCAGTGAGCTTGAAATCCAGTAAGTTTGGAGGTCCTGAATCTACTGAACTTCTGCTTGTGTTTCTTAATAGTTCTGGGGACTCTACTCTCTCTACTCTTGCCTGCCATGGTAAGCTCTTTTCAATGGTAACCAAGTCCTCTGGACTATCTGAATGCCTCTTCTTGTTCTTAATGAATTCCGAGTCTGTAGTATTCTCTTCATATGAAATACTCTTTTGACAGTTTCTTGGTCGTTTCTCCCTGCGTGGTTTCTTGGCACATATTTCCTCATTATTTGAGTCTGATAGGAGGTTTTCTGGTTGTTTTCGTGACCACTTTTTCCTTACCCTGAAGGGAGCCCATTCATCTTCACTGCTTTCCTTTGACAGTCTCAATTTGCCCCTGTTTTTATAGGTGTGACAAATGTTTCTCTTCTTTTTCTTCTTCTCATACATCCAGCTATGGTCTGTCTCAGGTTGAGAGGAGTCAAAATCAAAGTCAGAATAAACAGTATGGCTTCTTGGTGATGGATCCTTTATTTCTGGGTATTCAAGGAATCCTCCTGCCTCAGTTGTACCCCTAGATTGTTTGCCTTTTCTTTTCTTTGTAGATTTGCTATACACTGATAATCCAGTCTTCTTAGCACTTGATGAGAGAGGGGGCCTTCCCTTACCTCTTTTTGGTTTTCCTTCTGTATCCTTCAGTTCTGAATCTACACTGGCAATGTTGGCATGACAAAAGGACTCACACTCAGTAATCAGTGACTGATTCATTTTGTTTTCTTTCTCTACAAAGTATGTATCATTTTGCCTCCTCTTCCTAGTGCCTACCCTAGATCTTTTCTGGTCTGATGGATCGTCTGTGTCATTTCTTCCTGCACTAATATTTGTAATACTGGTATTTTCAGGTGGTGTCTCTATTAGCATTGACTCAGTAAAAACATCATAAAGCTTTTTCTTACTTTTAACACTGATGGGATCACATTCCTCCTGATTTGTGACAGTGGGAGATGTACTCTTGCTTCTACCCAGGGGATACGCCCTCTTCGTTTTTTTCTTTGCTGGGTAGGTGTTAGCATTAGTTCTTGATTCATTTGAGTCTGAGATTTTTCTAAGACTAAACTGCTTGCCAGGGGTCTTCAATCCTAATGGTTTAACTGGATATTCTGCTAAAATCTTGAGTGTTGACATCAGAGTTTTGCTTGGACCTTTCCCACTTCCTAAGAACTTTAATACTGATGCATTTGGAATGGCTTGCTCTACCTCATCTTGCATTATATTTCCTTCATTTTTATCTAAATCTGATCTAGCCATTTCTTCACCCCTCTCATTATTAGTATCATAGACATTTCTTTCATGAGTATTTGAACTTTTACCAGCTTCATCATCTTCAGCTGGTTTTCCTAGAGACCCATCAAGTGGATTACAATCAATAGTACTGCCAAACCCACTCCTTAGATCTGATGCATGGTCTAGCAATGCCATATCTTTGGTAGTTTTCTCCTTAAAAAGAACTGGAGACTTGGACATATTCTCTCCTGAATCCAGAGGGTTGGTGCTTGGGGAACCAGAGAGGCTCTCCTTAAACACATTACTATCTGGCACTACTGAAAAAGATCCAGTTAACATAGGGTTGCTTGTATCTGGTGATCTATTTGGTACTTCTGTACATGGTGCATTCCCATCTGGCATAACCAATGGAGACAAGCATGGGCCAGATTCTAAAGTAGGCCTGGGTGTATCTGGCCATTTCACACTAGATCTCATGGGAAAGCTTGGACATTCTGTTTGAGTGTGTTGATGAGGTGTTGTACGACCCGTGCCATCTCTGTGTACTATTGCAGTCACAGATGTAACAGAGATGCTTTCTTGTGCATGGGTAACTATTGCGGGTGAAATAGGTACAACTGTGTCTGTTTCTGCCTGCAATGCCTTCAGCAAAGGCTTTTCTGCTGTTGATAAACCATCATAAGAGTCTTTAGACAAATATCTATCTGGTTGTGGAGAAACATTTAATTCTCTTGCCATTAGTTCACCTCCACTGGAGTTGTCATCACCTTGAATTGAAAAAGAACTGACCTCTGATGTTGGAGGACATTTAAAGTCTGATTTTTCTAATGTCTTGGTTTCTGAAATCTCTTTACTATCTGGGTCAAGTTCATAATGGGTTTTAAGTTGTAGTTTATCATGCTTTAATATATCAATGCTTAAAGCTCCATGTTTTTGCTGGTCATGTTCTGAAGCTACAAGATCTGGAATGGGTGAAGAAATCTTTTGATTCTTATCATATTTTGATACAGATCTGGGAGAGTTATGTATTACAGAAGTAGAGCCTAATATACTTGGTGTTGTTGGTCTGGGGCTCTTAGACACTACAGCCTCAACAGCCTCTGTATCTACTGGATCAGGTATAGAATAATCTAATGCTGGAACCAACTCCTTACTCTTACAATGTCTATATGTATCACCTTTCATAATATGCCCTGAATTATTTCCTGAATTATTTCCAACTTTATCATTCGAGGTGGATGGTGACCACTTTGAAGTTTCAAGGAAATCCCTTGAATGCTTTCCCTCTGACCTGAGTTTTCCTACAGCGGGAGATTCAACCTGTATTGATGAGCCCATCTTGGGCGAAGTGAATTTTAAAGTTGGATAATTTGGTAAGGATGACCTCTTAAGTTTTGGTGATGTTCCTAGAGAAGTCCTTCTCTGTTTTGCTTTTGAACCAACAGAAGAGGCCTTTGCAAGTCCAGTGTCCTTATTTTTCTCATCAGATAGCTTGGAACGGCTGCGTAAAGGGTAGGTCTTGGGAGTCATCATCTGCGATTCAGTAGGTTCCCTTGAAGTTCTTTTTCTGAGTCTCCTCTTTCCTTCCACTATCAAGTTATTACGGGTTGCTTCTGGGGTCACCACAGGAATTACAGTCTCTCTTTTCTTTGAGTCTGTCTGTACTGGACCCAACTTAGAAATCAATGATTCTTTACATTCTGAACCATTCTGCTCATGTCCCCTCTTTCCTTGCACAGGTAAATCATTAGGAGATACTTCCTGAACTACAGTCTCTCTACCCTTTGAATGCAGCTGTACTGGTTCCATCTCAGAAACCATGGCCTCTTTACATTCTGTGTTCCTCTGCTCAAGCTTCCTCTTTCCTTGGATTGGCAAATCACTAGGGGTTGCCTCTGGAACTCTAATCACTTTCTCTGTTGAGTCTGGCTGCACTGATGCCACCTCAGGAACAAAATCCATTTCACCTTGTATGTTTCTGTTGCTCCTTTTTCTGAAATACTTACTCTGATCTTCTACCTCATCTTCTGATATTTTACTCCCTGCTTTTGCTCCCAGATCCCCTGAAGGACCTACAACTGGCAGCTCTTGACACTGCTTCTTCCTTGGCTTTAGATCAACATCAACCCTATTTGACTCCCATCTCTCTTGTGTACTAAGTGAGCAAGGCACAATCTCTGTATCACTTTCAGCTGAGCTATCCCTCTTCTTTTGTTTCTCTTTGCTTTCATAGGAATCCATTGCCCTGTTCAGTAGATCTGCATCTTGGGTTGGCAGGTACCTGTCAAGAGATCCACTCACGTGCGGTGAGTCAACACATTCCTCTCTGTCTTGATCTTGAACATTTCCATCAGATTCTCCTAAAATCTTGATAACATTTGGTACTACAGCAATAGATGTCTTGGTATTTCCTGTATTTGCTTTTTCATTTCCAAATGGACTTGCACATGCATCGATGTCTGTGATGCTTACAGATGCCTTGGATTTCTTGGTCGATTTCTGTGGCGACAATTTTTCAGAATAAGGTGTACTCTGGGTATCTGAAAAGAATAAAAAAATTATAGAAAGACTCTCAGTTGTATGGGTAGACACGTGGGTATTTATGGGCCTCACAGGATCCCAAGTCAGACCTAGCCCTAAAAAGTGCATGGATAATGTCTGGTCACACTAATACCTGCCAGGTAGCGCCAGGCACTTTATTTCATTTTCTTATAAATTTCGTCTTTTCAAGGTAATTTATTCTTATATGTGTTTTCAGGTAATTTCATGCATAATTAGGAGAGATTTTGACCACCCTATTTATGGCTATACTGCCTCAGGTATCCAGCTGCCATGTTTTGCTTGTGGTGGATTGCTATAAAACAGGCACTGGAACTTGATGCATGTGGAAGGAGTTTATGTCCTTTGCTATATACACATTTCTTACTAGTTTTTATTGTATATGTTCTCATATAATCTTTTCATTCTTATATTTCAGGTAATTTTATGGGCAAGACTGTTACTGACAGTAGTATATTAATTATTATGAATAATAAAGAATTTTATCAAGTTCTTGTTTTATAAATTTTGAGAGAGTGATGGGAAAGTCTCGTAATTAACACCCCAATCTTAACTGGTAATGTTCTTGTGAGAAAGTGATAATAAAATGAAATTTATTCATATATACATACATACATATATATATATATATATATATATATATATATATATATATATATATATATATATATATATATATATATATACTGGGCAGTAGATTCATTAGTACCAGGCAATCCCGGGCAGTAATTTATATGACACATAATGTCTGTCCTAAGAGCTTATTTATACCCTAATGTATGACAGCATTCAATCATGTACTTTCAGTGAAAATGCATGTGATCCAAGGATACTCAACTAAATGTAGCTTCTCAAAAACTGGTGCTGTTTCCTCATTTTTTCCACTGTCAGTGGGAAGCAAAAAGTGTGTGGAAGTAATTTTGGTAATGTTTTGCATATATCTTTCAGCTACACCTCTCCCAAACCCAACCCATTCCTCCACCCTCTTGTGTCACCTCTCTTCCTGAGCCAATCATACAAGAAGACCTAGATTAGTTCCTGTTTCCTTTCTACTTGTGAATGAATATAATAAGTACAAATTAATAATTCTTCCACCTCTATTTTACTTATGAGAGATCATAAATATTTTTAAAAATCCATAATCTATGACATGTACATCCCCACAAACTCTTCATGCCCCCTGGTTTCCTAAAATAACAATATGAGCAAAGCCTAGTGTTGTTTGTTTATTTGAATTTAAAAAAGAAGAAAAAAAAAAAACAGTAGATATGAAATGTCTGAAGATTTATGGCTCTCTCTTTACTTTACTTCATATTAATAACAACTATGATAATAAAATTATGGCATGAACAATTCCTAGAAACAGCAACATGCACTCCATAACATTATTAGATTTCACATTTTTGTCTTTTGGTTTACTATTTGCTTTCCATAGAGATACATGCTTTATTTTGCTCAACAATATGCTTAATCTCTCTCTCAGTCCCCTCTCCCTCTCTCTTTCTCTGTCTGTCTCTTGCTCCCACTCTCAGTATGTCAAGTGCATCAGAATATATTGCCACTGTTATACAGAGGCAACAGGAGTGGGGATCTGTTGTTTCACCCTGGCAATTCTGTTATCAAGTTTGTTTGTTATCGCTTCTACAAACATCAGATTAATTAGAGTGATGTCTAACCATGATTAAAAAAAAAAACTATATATATATATATATATATATATATATATATATATATATATATATATATATATATATATATATATATATATATATATATATATATATATATATATATATATATATATATATATATATATATATATATATATATATATATGTATATATATATATATATATATATATATATATATATATATATATATATATATATATATATATATATATATATATAATGAATATGCTTTGCAAGTCATTAATTAAGATTAATAAGTAAATCTTTCCTGACTAAATCATAAACAGTTCATGCATAAACTTACCTTCTGTATCAAGACACAGTTCTTGCTCAGACACAGAAGTCTTTTTCCCAGAGGAATGTCCCGAATGTGCTGTCAAAAAGCCACCAACCTTCTTTGCATGTTGCTGTCTGGCTGAAGCCTGGCAATAAAACTGGTTTTGTACAAGTGACCAAACTACTCCACAGAAATTAAGTACCTGATTAAGCCTGCAAACTTGGGCTTCTACTGGAAACATGTATAGAAAAGCGTTCCTTAACCCACTGGCACTGGATAAATGCCCTGTCCATTGAACTGCACATTTTTTTTTACATACAGAGGCTCCAGAAACATTTAATTACCAAGGAGTCAATTAGCATATTTACATACTTTAATTATTGTTGACATTATGATTACCATAATGCAAACAATACTAACATTAACAAAAAATAATAAACCAAAAATGAAATAGATAAATAAATAATCAAATCCACAAATCAAGGAAAAGAGTAAACAGGAGAGGTAAGGTATGCCTAGTAATTGCTTCCTTGGTGACTATGAACTTTTGAAGTCATTTAATTAATAAACTAAAATCACTGAGCATGTATGTACACACAGACACACAGACAGACACAGACACAGACAGACAGACAGACACACACACATACACACACGTCAACATCTCTGCTCTATCATATGTAGTCAGCCCATGATATCTGCAGGGAATTTGGTTTCAGAACCCCTAGGGATACTAAAATCCATTGAAGCTCAGGTCCCTTATTTGAGTATTTGCAAAGAACTACTACACATTCAACTATACTTTTTATTCAATAAGATATGAAATGTGTAAATATGTCACACTATTTATCATACTGTACTTTTTGGGAAAAATGACAAGACAAACAGTCTGTAGACACATTCATTGAATGTCTTAACTAGTTAGCACACAACAGCATTGACAAAAGATTTCTCTTAACACCTATATTTATGTAATGTTTGAGGGAGAAATAAACACAGTGAACACAGTAAACCTAAAATCGTAAGAATATGAAGGAACTAGAACTATAAAGAGGAGATAAAAAGCCATTTTCCATAGAAACAAAGGGTCACGAAACACAATAAGTAGTAGAACTATTCCGTAACTCATTCCCTGCAGATTTATGAACTACCCATTGTTGTTTTTTCATTATGTTCAATATCAATACTGTTATCATTCTGGCATACTATGATTATTAAATTGTTATCAAAATATTAACAACATCAAAGACAATAGAATATTACAAAAGAAGCTTTAAAAAAATCAAGAAGGGTAAACAGGTGAGATACATAGGTCTAATAACTGACTCTTTGATGACTAAGTACTTGTGGAGCCATTTATGTGTAAGGACAATTAATAAACTAATATTTCAGTGGGAAGACTGGGTTAGGCTTAAACAAGTGTTCAGAGAGAAACTTAGGGATCTGCAAAATGGCAGTAGACTAGAGCAGAGTATTCCTTCATTTCATTCAAGTGGATTCAGCAAAATGCTTTACACATGGCAATTCAAAGTTTTACTTCTAGGAAAGTTCACATTTTCTTTTCTAACTTCTTTCATTCCACAACTGATTGAATCGTCAAAGGGAGGAAGGGACAAAACTTGTGGCATAAATTTAGAAGTAAACCCAGAGATTCCTAAAACAAATAAAAAGTAAATTACCGGAGTGTCTGGGGAGAGGACTCCTAATGTACAGGAAACTACAACACTACTTGACATTTTCTGCCCTGACCCTGAAGAAGAGCTATTCTGGAAATAAATAAAATCAAATCACAGTAAAAATTCATATGGTGCTGAATGTACACAACGAGACAAATATAAATCAAGCATTAAGATCAAAATCCTGTAAAAATATGCATGAACAAGGAATTCAAAATTTATGTGCAAAACATTTTAGGCATTTCTCATTTAACATTTTCAATAATATATTTTGAATTAGCCCCTTCCACAATAATTCTTTAAATCCATATTTTTGGTCCAGAATACTATGCTTACTGATCATACACATGCAATCCGGAACTGAAACATTTCTCTTTTCCACTCTGTTTTTATGTGAATAAAAATAAATAAAATAGTAAGTTTGAGTTAATCTGGTACTATCTAGCATATATGTCTGGCTATTTCCAACTCCTTTTCCCCGGATCTCATTCTCTCCTTCCTTCCTTCTTAACCCATTAACACCGGTATATTTTGAAGCCGAAAATAAAAGATTCCGGGCAGCTACAAAATCGGCGTGCAGGGCTGGCCTGGACTCTATTTTTTCAGGTGTCTCATATGTGGGACACCTGTCGTTAGTGGTTTAAGAGATTTTGCCTCTCATATTTTAAGCTATTACATAAGACATTCTCTTATCTATATGCTCAAGCCACATCCAACAATAACTAATTTCAATCTTGACAATTTACTGTGTAGTACTTACTTGACATGACAATGAAACAGATTTTATGAAGAGTTCAACCACACCCTTCAAACATCAATGACCAAAATTTGCCTTGGTAAAACTTGAATAATCAGGCTTTAATTGTGGCTTGCAGTTGAAGCTAGGAATACCAACTGATATTCCTAAAAGGTTAATTTTCAAATTTTGCTCT